AGCAGCAGCAACCTATGCATCAGTAGACCTCAACATTACACAAGGCAAAAAGCAACATCCTCAAATACAACACGGAGAACATCAACACAATCACACTTGATGGAAAAACTCTGGAGGATGTGGAAACATTCACGTACCATCATCAAAAGAGTAAATGCACTCATAAACAATTGTTTACATAAGATACTCAATGTCCGTTGATCGAATACCACCAGCAACAGCCTACTGTGGAAGAGAACAAACCAGATTCCAGCTGAGGAGGCAATTAGGAAAAGACGTTGGGAGTGGATAGAACATACATTGCGTAAAACATCAAACTGCAACACGAAGCAAGCACTAACTTGGAATCCTGAAGGGAAACGGCCAAGAAACACGCTGTGTCGAGAATCGGACACAGACACGAAAAGGATGAATAGCAACTGGAAAGGATTGTCCAAGACATAGTTGGATGGAGAATGCCGGTGAGTGGCCTATGCTCTTCCACAAGGGGTAACAGTTGCAAGTAATTAAGTAATGTAAGCTGTCCTGGACTCAGTGTTGAATAGGGAATAGAAGAAGCAACAGACGAACTTGTTGTACCAAATAGGTAGCCTCTATCTGCAAACACAGTTCAGTTCAACATCCATTTCGTGTAGTTACGTTAATTTCATATATTGGGTCATCCTGACGATGAAATCAGATGATAATCGATTCATCGGTGTATCATGTATAAGTTTAATCAATCCACGGTATTGAGCACCTCTTTCCCTTTGTTTTCACTAAGTAACTTACAAGACTGAAGATACTAGACCTAGTTCCTGATTGATGGGTTTTAAATGAGTATTGTCGAAGAGTCATACACTAGAACGAAACGGCTGTCTGGTGCTTCCAGATTTTCAATGGTTAACTAAATTCGATCAATTCATTATCTTACAACATTATACTAATAACAACACTAGTAAAACAAATATCATTTCATAAATATACTTTATCACAAACGAACAACAATTACAAATTTACTTCAAATGTTGAACGATCAGGTTGATTAATAAGACCAATAGATTTTGTAAATTGACTATTCAATGGATTACTAACAATATATGAACCAGGTGACCAAATATAACAAGTATCTTTAAGAAGTTTAAATAATTGAATATTTTGTAATTGTATTTGATAAAATGCTGAAGGAGAATAAATCATTCGTGAATCAATAGGACACATAAGTTGACAGGATGATGTAGTTAATATAGTTGATTCAATTGGTAACCAAGCAGTTTCACGTAGTTTATATAACCAAGATGAATAATCTAAATAATATAATGTATCATTAGTAGTAATAGTAGTAGTAGGTAATCCATCATTTGTGCTTGAATCCAATGTATCCAATGAATCATTTTGAGTTTTTATACGAGTGAATAATGCAGATTGAACTCTTTTTAAAAAAATTAAAGCAAAAAGATAAGTGTATTACAAAATTTCCTAAATTAAATTTAACAAACTATACACTCATGATAATTAGATAAATGAATTGACTCGATTAATTTCACACTTTTACAGGTGGTAATGAGTAAATGTAACTGTGTCATAAATATGAACTACTGAATTTCAATTCAATGATCTGATCCTTGACATGAATTGTAAGTGACCACAACTACAAAGGAACTGCAAGCTTGAATATCAAGTATCCGCTGATCAATCAAATATAAGCAACGTAGAACTAGGTACATATCTGTATTGAGATTTAGATGGTGGTTGGAGGTAGTCAACAGGAAACCCTGGACCCGGGTTTCGTGCTACTTGGCACTCGTCAGCAAGGTGTACCTGTAATCTTGAGGGAACTGGTGCTCCCTGGCGGATTCGATCTCGTATCATGGCTCGGATAGCTCAGTCGTAACGTCTCTGACTGTGAAGCTGGGTGACACGAGATCGAATCCGCCAGGGAGCACCAGTTCCCTCAAGATTACAGGTACACCTTGCTGACGAGTGCCAAGTAGCACGAAACCCGGGTCCAGGGTTTCCTGTTGACTACCTCCAACCACCATCTAAATCTCAATACATAGGGCCCGCAGTGTCGAGTCACCTAGACTGGTGGCCACATTGCAACATGATCGATAGCATTCGATCTGCACTAATAAGGACTAGACAAGCATGACATTGATCACCACCCAGTGATCAATCAATTGTGACATATCTGTAGCACTTGTAAATTCTCATGCCAAATCAGACTACCAAGATCAAATTATCAAGAGAAATGCTAGAATATTAGAAGTACTAAGAGTATAACTAGTAGTAAAGATTAGTAATTGAGAATATGATTTGAGAAGAGAGAATAAATCCGCGGAAAAAAATGTGTCTGGAGGCTCCCAAATGCCCTGGTACGGCCAAGAGTGGGGAGAGTCCGCTCTCCCTCTCGAAATGCTCTCTCACGACCACGCGCATATAGCCTCTGCCAGGGAAGTCCTACTCACTGCCTTCTCGTGGCACCGGTGTTGTTTACGAAAATGAGGGGACGAAAAGCGAATGTCCGGCTCTTTAACCGGATTCCGAACCAATGATGCACACGGGCTTCAGAATCCTGCGGGAACAATTGACGTATGAACCAATCGTTGGTCACTGGCTACCATCAGACTGCATCTCCTTGCGATGCTCCACTACCTTGTGGGTCAGACCTTTAGGTCAAAGAGTCGGGGTGTGGCCCTCTAAGAAAACCACTTGCTTCGGTTTGGGCACCCGGGCAGTATCACAGCCCTCACACATATCAAATGATATCTGTGTGGCGCATATGTATTTGGTGCCTCCTTGTACCAATACCTATGTGTTAAAATAACATAAAATAAAATGTCCGGAGCGGGAGTAAAGAATGAATACGTTTGTGTTAGTGAGATCTATCTTAAAACATATCGCACAAAGTCTATGACCAATGATCATGATAATCGCACGAACTCCAATCAAATCGTCCGAAACTACTAACACAGTTTGCTTCAACAGTCGATGAATTCATGGACTAAAGCCATATTTTAATTTGGTCACCCTTAGCCTTCTTTCAAACTACTCAAGTCTTGCTTAGACTATTTTTATAAGGACTATCAATAATAATTCAGCTGCAAGCACATAAGTGTGTCTAAGAATTGAAACATGAATTTCATTTAGTACTGGACATAAAATATTACATAAAGTTGTTATTATTATTGCCATTATGAGTTGTTGGTACTGTTGTAGCATTATTACAATCTATTGTATAATTTCATGAAGATTTGTTTAATTTAACAAAATGGTTTATTGTAAACTTTTGTCAGTAGGAGAACGAAACGAAAACTAGGGAAGTTATGAACAAGTTACTTGTCTGTTTACGACTAAGATTATTCAATCTAGATACAAAACTTAAACGTAGTTGTAAAATTTGTGATACTAAACTTCTATTCAGGGTTACGGTACTGTAAAAATGAACAAAATGTGAAAGTTATCTATTTGAACTAGAATGAGAAAGATATCCACTAACGTCCCCGATATAAATCCACTTATTTACAGTTTCCAATTCAGTGAATGTTAACTTGTCGCAAAATCTGTCTTCAAACTGTACAAATACCTACAACAAATAATTGAATAAACATGAAATAATAATTAAAATCAAATGATAGATGTTTGACAGAAGTCAGGAAGAAAAATCTGGATCTAGATCGTATGTTAGTTTCAATCACAGTTGTCCACACACATAGGACTGAAATATTGAAATTGATTGATCAATGAGTCATGAATTTTGTTGACCAAGTTTGTAATGTGTCAGGTTGGAAGTTGTTAACAAAAGACTCTCTTGGTAGAATATATCCAGTTTGATAACCATTAAAGGGAAAGATAAACATGAAATTCATCACTAATGCTCAATAATCGATAGATATCCCTATCAAATAGAACAACACAACAGCATGACGAATTCACTTACAAGTACAATATTGAACATTTTTAGTTATGATTGGTGAAAAACAAACAAACAAGAAATTAGCTTACGGACTATATGAAGACCAATTATCATGTAGTAGACAGCTTAAACGTTCAGCCATCTCTTTCCCCATTAATTTATCTTGAAGTCGGGCAATACAGGTTAGAAGTAGATCAATACCAGGTGAAGTATAATCTTCAATTAAATATATAGTACTATTGTTACTTAATGGTGAATTCATGATTGATAATGTTAGACCTTGTTTTTGTAATGCTTCAATGATTGACTTTTGTAAACGATGATTTATTGGTAAAGATATTGCATCTTTTAATATACTTGATGATGTAACATCGTGTTTAGAAGTTGTACCAGATACTTGGTAAAAATATTTGATTTTGTGAACGGACAATAAAGTGCACACACCTTGTAAATGTAAACAAAAAAGGAAGGAGAAAAGGGACAAAACAATGTAACATAAAATTCAGCTATGCAAATTCAATTCTTGAAGTGTACACAGTTTCTTAGTAAGAATAAAATTGTTATGACTTTTGCCCAGTTAATTTATCACTTGATATGATCGCAAATTAAACACCAACTTATACGAACTTGGCACTGTGCCAAACCAATGATGCGTTAACCATTACGCTCAACCTAAAGTCAACTCTGAGTTCATATTGGTTCATCTTGACTAGCTCTGTCTCTTAAGTCCAGAACACAGTCTTAGCTTCCACTATATGAATAACATATTTTAGATATACTTAGTTTATATACAAATAAATCAAACCGCATCATACCATAAAATAGAAAATAACAACTATACAAGATCAGATCAAAAGTGGTTGTGAGTGGGAGAGACTGTAGCTAATAAATTGGGTGTAAATTAAGAATAGTAAATAGTATAATAGTAGTCAATATGTAAGAATATGACATTTGCAGTTTTTTATTTGATGTTAACAGCAGAATAAATTAGTCGTTATGAACAAATATGATCCCATTACATAGAATTGTGGTTTTACGAGTAGAAACAACTGGAATACTTAATTCAAATTTTATTTTGAGTAACAACACAAAAACGATACACATAAGTCAGTCAGTCAGTAACAACGTAGAACTTCGTACGTACGTACATCAGTTCGAGTTGCCACACCACATTAGCACAGAGATGCACTTGTCGATTCAAATCCCGTAGTGATAGAGGTAATAAGAGTATAAGCAGTAATCGGGAAGATTAGGGTTTGGAGATGTTATTTAAAGAGTATAATCCAGTGAAAGAAATTTGGAAAGAGGAAAAAAGGGACATGAAGAATTCAGAAGATTAGAGTTTGGGAGAACACAGAGAGTGGATGCACCTGCGCCATTGCAAACGATTTTGAGCCATGTCATTCAGGGTCTCTAACCATCGGTTGCTGTCATCTCGCGGTCCCCAACCAGGTAGTCTACACCTACCAACATGACTCAGTCCACTTGTCAGTGACTTCATGGACTTGTGCCATGTTTTGGTTTGGCCGCCCCTAGCTTTCTTCCAACCTACTCCTATACCACTGAACATAGCACGTCGAGGCAGTCGGTCGTTGGGCATACGTAACACGTGTCCCAGCCATCTCAACTGATGAAGTTTCACTACTTCATCAATTGATTTGCCATCCTTACCTAGTACCCGTTTCCTAACAACTGTGTTACTTACTCGATGGTCCCATGATATACGAGCAATGTTTCGAAGACACCTATGATCAAATACTAGTAACCTACGGATATCCTCTACTCTTACCGGCCATGTTTCACTGCCATAAAGTAGGACGGAACGAACTGCTGCGCAGTAAACACGTCCTTTGGTTGATAGACGGATATCTCGCCTACGCCATAAATGACGCAAGTTGGCAAAAGCTAGTCGAGCCTTCTGTATCCGTGCTGAGATTTCGTCACACACCAAACCACAAGGGCTGATGAGACTTCCAAGATAAGTGAAGCGGTCGACACACTCAACTACTTCACTCCCTATCACTAGTTCGGGTGTCGATGTAACCCAATCCTGAAGCAACATTTTGCATTTCGAGGGAGAGAATCGCATCCCGAACATGCTTGCATTGTTGCTTAGAGTGGTCAGAAGACTCTGCATTTTGTCAGCGTCTTCACCAAATAAAACTATGTCATCTGCATATTCTAAGTCAACAAGTGAACCTCCTGGTAGAAGTTCAACCCCTGTAAATTTAGATGAGGAGAGTGTTATCTCTAAAAGTACGTCAATGACAAAGTTGAACAAGAATGGGGAGAGTGGACAGCCCTGACGAACACCACTTGAGGTGATCAATTCTGATGACAGTTCGCCATAAGCTCTCACTCTACCAGTTGTGTTCGAGTAGAGAGCCTTTATAAGGTTAATGTACTTCTTTGGTACTCCTTTCAGTGACAAACACTGCCATAGAACCTCACGATCAACGGAGTCGAATGCCGCCTTAAGGTCGAGAAATACTACCATTGTGGGGCGTCTGAATGTGTGTCTGTGTTCTAGAACCTGACGTAGTGTGAATATCTGATCTATACAACCACGTCCAGGTCGAAAACCAGCCTGGTTTTCTCTAGTCTGCTCTTCACGAGCTTTAGTTAGGCGTCGAAGTATTATTGAGGCTAATATTTTAGACACTATATTAGTCAAACTGATTCCTCTGTGATTGTCACAAGAGGACTTTTGTCCTTTCTTAAAAACTGGCACAATCAGTGATTGAGACCAGTCAGATGGGATTACGTCCAGTTCCCAAATTCTACCTAAGACCTCAGTTAATCTCATTGCTAATACTGGACCACCATCCTTAAAAATCTCAGGAGTAAACCTGTCAGGGCCTGCTGCTCTCCCTCGTTTCAGATTTCCTATGGCTTTTTCAACTTCGTAAAGGGACGGAGGACTTACATTAACTTGCCATTCAGGTTGACTGGAGATCGTGGGAAACCGAAGTGTGGCTGAAGGCCAGTTGAACTGATCCCTAAAGTGTTCTGCCCATCGATCCAATCTCCTGGATTGAGAATGAATAATATGTCCATCTTTCTCTGAGATTGTTTCGCTAACGGTCGGGTTCCTAATTCCGGTTTCCTTAACGAGTCTAAACAATTGTCTGCTATTACCTATTGCCGCTGCCTTTTCCATCTCTCTTGCTTTCGCTACCCACCACTGTTCGCGATCATTGCGTAGACTTCTTGTCAGCTTGCGCTTAAGCTGACTCCGCTCTTCATTATGTTCAGAGCCAGGTGGAATGAGTTTTCGAGCATCTATCAGTGCGATAGATGCTGCTGAGATCCAGTGTTGCTCCCTAACTTTACGGTTTACCTTACTAGCAGATATCACTGCTGTTTCCACAGCTTTTCGGATATCGTTCCATGCTGCCTCGGGGTGGGCATCACATACATGGCTGCCTAACTGTTTTCCTAGTTGTTCCTGAAATATACTCTTAGCTTGACTATCATTAAGTAGGCCCTAAGAGGTTTCCTTGCAGGATCTTTCCTACGTCCAGTAAGACGCAAGCAAATACGCGCTCGCACTAGAGCATGATCTGAATCTAGGCATGTGCTCCAGAATGAGCGACAGTCTTCTATCGAGCCCCTCCATCGGTGGCTGATAGCGATGTGATCTATTTGGGTCCAACGTTGGGACGAATTAGGGGGTCGCCATGTTAAAAGATGTTTTTCCTTATGCTTAAAGTTAGTATTTGCAAGGAACAGGCGGTTATCTGAGCATAGCTGCAACAGACGGTCGCCATTATCTGTTCTTTGAGCCACGACACCATAAGATCCACCTAGGTGTCTTTCCTTATCGCTTAGTTTACCTACTTGAGCATTAAAGTCACCGGCCACTATTACTACATCCGAGCGCTTAGCTTTTCGGAGAAGGTCCGAAAGCTTTCTGTAAAACTCATCTTTTACATCATCTGAGCTGCAGTCAGTGGGAGAATAGGCAGAGACGACGAAGAGGCAACGACGAGTGTCCCTATCTTTCCGGATTCTTACTGTTCCGTTCAGTCGGACAGCGCACAAACGACTGTTACTGGGATCCACTCTAAGAGAGCTAGTTCTGCCCTAGGACTCAATGCTATACCTACGCCGGCGAGGCCACGGGAAGCAGAATCAGGGCTTCCAGATACACGAAGCGTAAATCGAGTCGGTTCTTTATTTTGGCATGGTGAGGTCAAATGAATGACGCTACTTGGATCCTGTATGCGCGTTTCGGAGACGCAGCACACATCGATGGCGCGAGATTCTAAAGTTTTAGCTAAGGAAGCCTGCTGTCCTATTTGGCAAAGTGTTCGTACGTTAAAAGCTCCTACGTGTAGTTTAGAGCGTGGTTTCAGGAGACCAGGAATGGCGTTCCACGTACTCGAATCGTTTGCCCTAGCGGTGCGAGGTGATAAAGAGACGTGAGGAGGGTTAGTCGGGAGGATAAGAGAGGTATTAGGAGGTGTAGGAAGGATTTGAATGTGACCACCTTGGTCTCTTGTGCTGTTACGGGTATGAGGGCTGATGTCACTTCCCGGCTGCCCACACCGTGGAAGGGTATTTCTTGAGGAACCTGAAAAGGAAATTGGATTAGTGTTGGTCTTGACGACCTGGGAGCGTGACCGCAGAGCCCAAGGGACAACTGCTTGAGGCCGGTCGCGCACGGCCTTTTTGTGGAAGGTTTTTGACGTGTTAGCTCCGTTCTTCAAGGGGCCTTACCGCCGGAGACGGAAATCCGTGAGGTAAGGTGAGGTGTGCATTTTTAGGGTCGACCTTTTCTAACCCCACCCCTCCTTGTGGGAAGGCAGCATCGCTGTCATGCTGGTTGTCCGAGGGAAACACCTTACTGCTGTCACACCTCTCTACAGTCAGCAGTACGACTTCGCCCTCAGACCTTGAGTTGCTGCTTTTAGTCTTACCGTTCGCCAATCGACCTGCCTGGCATGGTAGAACCTGCAGGAACATATGTTCCAGCCAATATAGCTCGGTTGGGTCATCACGATAGGCAAGCCCGACCACCGCGTCAAGGTAGCAGCTTCGATCGGGGGTAGCAGCTTCGATCGGGATACACATAAATCTGTTGTTGATGAAGCTCAAATTGAACGAAACATATGCAGATTTAAATATTATGCTATTAATACTTTATATCGAAATATAATTAGATAATAAGTGGTCTTGAGTGTTGTTAAAGGTATCAGAACAGTTATCACTTCCCGGTTGCTCACACCATGGAAGGTTTCTTCTGGAGGTACCTGAAAAGGAAATTGGATTAAGGATGGTCTTATTGACCTGAGAGCATGACCACAGTGCCCAAGGCATAATTACTTGAGACCGGTCACACACGAGCTGTTTGTGAGTGATTTTCGTGTCAGCTCTGTTACTTGTTCAGACCTAACCGCTGGAGACGAATATCTGTTGAATAAGGCGAGATGTATATTTTTAGGGTTGACCTTTTCTAATCCCACCCCTCCTTGTGGGAGGGCAGCATCGCTGTTATGCTTGGTTGTCTGAAGAAAACACCTCAGTGCCGTCACACCTCTACACAGTCAGCTGTACGGCTTCGCCCACGGACCTTAGATTTACTGCTTTTAGTCTTACCGTTCTTCAACCGACCTGTCTGTCATAGTAAGACCTTGATTAACGATTGTTCTAGCCACTATCACCCGATTAGTTCATCACGATAGGCAAGCGCGACCCCCACGTCAAGGAAGTAACAACGTTCGGTCTTAGGAATATTGCTCGCAACTGAGGGGATCATCAGGTAAGTAATAATGAGGTTAGACACGAGGCATTAAGGAATGACAGTAAATCAGTTGATGAGGTTGAGAATTTTCAACAACTAAAATGGTTGGGTCACGTGTTACGTATGCTTGACGCGCAATGCTCACTAGTATATGGGATGTTTGGAAGAAAGTTAGGGGCGGCAAAACCAAAACGTGGCATCAGTGCTCGGAGTTACCAACTTCTTGTTGGTAGATGCAGACCACTTGGTTAGGGTTCGCGTGACTATCGTAACCAATGGTTGGAGACTCTTGGTGACATGGCTCACAGTAGATCACAATGGCGTAGGTGTATACACTCTCTCTGCCCTTAAACTATGAGATTAAAAGCGCTTTATATCTCTCTTTCTACGAACTAGTTCTTTCTTCCTGTACTATATCCTCATATGCAATCTTTCTTTTATATATTACTACTATTGAATTAATTACTTCTATGAATTTGGTGTTCATCTTATTGTGCTAATGAGGTGTGGCAACTTGGACCGATACACATATATCCCTGGTCTTATGTTGTAGTTGACTGATTGATTGAATTAGATAATAACAGTAAAAACAAATAAGTAACTGAATAATTAAAAAGAAAATAAAAAAAGAAGTAAACTAACCAGCTTTTGAAAAGAGATCATACCATCGAGAAGCTTGTTGTGGATTCGTTGAAAAACCTTGAAAATATTTTGGTGACACAGTAAACATACAATCAGAATCATTTATTTGTTCAATTAAAAATGTGAATAAATCAACTTCTAATTGTTCCATAAAATTTCTATCCATATTCACTGATGATGATGATGATGATGAAGAAGCAATAGTAAAAGTAGCTGGAGGTAAAATAATTGGTTGATCACGTTGTAATCCATTTTCATAATAATCACATAATGCTGGTAGAATAGAATTTTCTCCAAATTTATTTGAAACAACAATTGGTAGAATAGTTGAAAATTCATTAATATTTTCTATTGGATAATAATGACTTTTATTGAAATGAATTGAAGTATAAAATTGTGCTATAGTTATATACCAATTCATTTGTATCATTGATACATTCATAAAATTATCATTGGATTGTTTTACCTTTAAATATGGAATAATCCATTTTGTTAAAACAATAGAAGGATAAGCTATTTGTAAACCTAATCCAATTGGTGATTGATCAGTTAATAAAGTGGAATAATCTTTATGATAATTAATTTGATTTGATTGAAAAGCATCTGGTTTAATTAATGGTCCTAATTTTTCGATTAATTGAATATAATCATCTATAAAAAGAAGAGAAAAAAAAAATAAGTAAAGGAAAAAATTATGGTGAGACTTTAATTTATGAATGAGACAATCAGAAGCGTTTTTGAGATTTCATGGTCACGGCGCCAACTTCAGTGCTTAATGCTAACGCACAATCGGTTCAAAACGTGATAATTGAGCGGCTATAACAAATAAAACAGCGAGACTATAATTTGTGGACGAATCAATCAGGTATAAGATAATAGATCTCGGATTTGGGTGCGAAAGCGTTTCATCTATTTGGCGAAATAAATTTCTGGCATTATAGATGATGTCAGTTCGTGATGAAAACCGCATATATAATTCCTAACTAAGGCAAATTATGACAATTATTGCGAACTGGATAATAAAAGCACCAGTAACACTGGCTGGTTCTAAAATATATACGGATGTTTGGAGAGCGTACAGACTCCTACATAGGCTTGGTTATGTACATCGTGTCGTTATCCACAAGTGGTATTTGTGTACTCAACAACCGCAGAGCACACAAACAATATTGAAGCTATGTGGTCGAGACTAACAGTTTCTGAGACTTTATCATGGCTCCAGAGGCCGACTATTCCGTAGCCATATGAATGATTTCCTCTACTGCATGCATAACGATTTTAGAACCTCTGAACCTCTTTTTAACCTTCACAAGTTTTTGAACCACGTATAAGAAGTGTATCCAATTTATTTCTTTGAATTTGTATAATTTATTTTTAATCTATACCTACTGTTTGCTGATCGGCTAATATTTCCCAAGGTCACTTAAGATTCGTTAAAAGGGCGTCCATAACCTATAATCTCGTTAAAATTATATATGAACGAATTCTAGTGTTGAAGTGCTGATTGATAATGAGAGTCAACCAGTTAATTGTCATCAACTTGGAGTCAGTGAAATTTATCATAATCATGAAGAGCCAGGTATATAGGTTGTACTTCATCCCGAAGAATTTGAGGAGATCATCCGGCTTGGTTGAAATGAAGTGGAAACAGTTCACTAAGAAGCTCAATAATCGAATACCTTGTAAAAATCGGACACTCAATCAAAAAGGATTCTATGTTCAAAGTCATCTTCAAGGTAAGTATAAGGTCGCCAAAGGCAGTTAGATTCCATTTTCTCAACATTGCAGAAGCAACAGCTATACATCTGGAAAAACTAGATTTGTGTCTAACAGAATCTGGAACAACCTCTTCATCCACAATAGTTTTAACGTCTCATAAGTGTTTATGATTGATTGGACTTATAATGGTTTGGGTTATCTCGTTGTTGATATTTTGACTGAAATTTGATTAGTCTTTGTTGGGATATATAACAGAATAATCATCAACTCTGATATCCAAGTACACCCAACCGATAAGTACCAAACAGGACGCGTTTAATGAGCAGCAGCTCGTTCCGTCCTACTTTATGGCAGTGAAACGTGGTCGGTAAGAGTGAGGGATATTCGTAGATTACTAGTACTTAATCATAGATGTCTTCGAAAGATTGCTCGTATATCCTAGGACCATCGAGTAAGTAACGCAGTTGTTAGGAAACGAGTACTAGGTAAGGATGGCAAATCAATTGATGAAGTGTTGAAACTTCATCAGTTGAGATGACTAGGACACGTGTTACGTATGCCCAACCACTGACTGCACCGACATGCGTTGTTTTATGGCGTCGAATAGTTTAGGATGGAAGAAAGCTAGGGGCGACCACACCAAAACATGGCACAAGTCCATGAAGTCACTGACAAGTGGACTGAGTCATGTTGGTAGGTGTAGACTACCTGGTTGGGATCCGAAAGACGATAGCAACCTATGGTTAGAGACCTTGAATGACATGGCTCGAAGTCGTCCGCAATAGCACGGGTGCATCCACTCTGTGTTCTCCCAAATTCTAATCTTCTGAATTCTTCATGTCCCATTCTTTTTTCTCTTTCCAAATTTATTTCACTGGATTATACTCTTTAAATAACATCTCCAAACCCTAATCTTCCCGATTACTGCTTATACTCTTACCGCCTCTACCACTATGGGATTTGAATCGACAACTGCATTGCTGTGCTAATGTGGTGTGGCAACTCGAACTGATGTACGTATGTACGAAGTTCTACGTTGTTACTGACTGACTGACTGACTGAAATAGGACGACACGCTCATCCTGCACTCCAATGTCATAATCAGTTAGCCATTGACAGATACTTGATTGAATTCACCTTGTCATAGCCTACATCTTCACTCCTTCATAGTACTAAATGAAGCTTGGAACAATGAACCCACTGTTAAAGTGTACAGTGTTAGAGTACATATGAGTACAAAGAAGAGGGATAAAAAACACTAGAGTTCAATGAAAAACTGTTAATTACAGAATTCATTGTCAATAAAACGGTTAAAACAATATAGGAGAAAAATCAACTGACTCATCTACAATTAAATCTTTTAACCTACCATATGTGATTCCAATCAACATGGAAGCGATTTCTGATGGACAAGGAGGTAATAAAACAACTGGATGGATATCATTAGACCAAACATGTTTCTGTTTATCATTTAAACGAATACATTGTCCATCAGTTAATGGAAAAATAGGCAAATGTTGTAGAGCTGTTAGAAGACGACGTCTAGATACCGCAATTGACGGTTTAGATGATAATGATATTTGTGATGACCATTTAGAAGTAGGTGTATTGTATGTAGTTAAACAAGCATCAAAACTAGACATGAGTACTGAAAGTAAACCAGGACGATTGATATCCTCTGAAACACAAAAATACGAAAACCAATAATCAATATATCAATAGTTGTGACATACATAATTTCCATTATTATTATGAATGTGATCAGGAGTCTTAGATCAAGACCTGATTGTTGCCTATTTTGATTGATTACACACGTTTAATGAAGTTTTTTGAAAGAATAAGATATCTTGATAAATTTCACCTTGGTTTGGACACCCTTTATATCGTATTGAAATGAAGTCCTTTTAAAAAAAACTATTGAAGGCTATGAAACACCAGGTAT